GTCGAGACAAGTTGTTTGATCTTGGAACTTGAGATAATACTAGGGGAAATTCAATCCAGCAAGAAATCTTAACCACTCTTAAGTTTCTTAGAGTTACTAAGAGATGAAAAGAAATCAAGACGAGCTTCATCATGGAGCATAAAGCAAATATCCAGGTGGATGCTAAATGCTGCTTTTGTAGGAAGGAATTTTGTTAAGACAAGAAAGAGAGGGCACCTTGCCTTGTAATTTTAGATATCTTTACGAGTTAGGAACTATTTTCCTATACTCGAGGTGAATCGGAATAATGCAGCTTAGTTCACAAATGGAAGTCCAAATAAAGTCAGACCTCAACTTGTTGATGTTCCTTGCACAATAAATAACAACTTGCATCAAGATTGAATAGACTTACACTACCGTTACCCAAGGAAAAGCAGTCTGTCAAAAAATGGAAGAAAAAGAAGTACAACCTTTTTCCCATGCTCTTCCCAATGGAGACACACAACATCAGTCGAGTGGGATTTTATACTTCGCAACAGCTTCCCATTCTGCAAGGAAACACCCAATGAGAAAATGGTATGTACAGAAACAGAAGAGAATGAACCAACTATATTCTGATTGATAGGGGTAATAAAGGCTCAAGTATACGAAATGAAATTCCTGCAACTCAACCTAAACCTAATGAAATCAACCAAGCCCTTGAAAATAACGTTTTTATTAGCAAAGAACTCAGTTTCAACATAGTAGTTTGTTTTCTCTAATTTGCAGCTAAAAAAAATGTAGATTAAGGTTCTTCAGCAAATATAATCCTCAAGAGATAAACTAGTATTGTATTCATTCTGTCAAAATCCAAAACAAGTAATGCACATTGAATTTACATATGTGATCCTCAAAGAAGCTTTATGGACATCCTTGAAAGATGCAGTATCTTATAAGATATGTTTAATGGACCCTTGTGGTGATGTTCCTTTACTAAAATTATTTACAAGGCTTATGGGGGAAAATAATCTATCTATATTATTATAAAAGCACGAATATTAGAACACTAAAATGTTGAACGACTAAAATATCCCCGAAATATTAATCAACTTTTATGCCCTCCTAAAATAAAATTATCTCTTCACAATAGTATTATGCTGATGTACAAAACCGTATTAAAAAGTCTTGTCTTAGAATTCAAGATACTTTAGGAGTATTCTACATCTAGTAGACACGAAATTGAACTCAGGAAAGTTGTCTTAGAATTCAAAAGCATTAGGATTCTTCTCATCAAATAGGCATCTAATTAAACTAATTATTGTAGCTTAGGAGTATGCAAATTCCAAATCGCTCAACTCTCCGTAAGTATGGATTTCGTGTCTTGCCAACTCTTGTATTGACTTCAAATACAGCTGCACGTTTGTTGTTTGATCATTGACATATTTTGAGTTATTTTTTCCTCCGTGATTTTGCAGAAAATTTAGAACTTGATTTAAATGGATGTTCTTTGCTAATTTGTTGCTTATCCATTATGATGATGGTCATAGTTAAGCCTCTGGGGAGCACAATTCTGACGCTTTTTGGTGTTGGATTTGAGATCAGAATAAACAACTAATAAGCGCATTGGTTGGAATTACTAGATGTTACTGTATATTTTTCTGTTTTATTGTTATTGCAGATTTTATGAATGCTCAGTACGTTCAATAACAAAGATCCTTTTGGACAATGTTCTCTAAATTCAATACGTGTATTGTTGTGTTATAACAAGACTCACCAACTGATTATTTCAACTGTTAACATCATTATTAAATCTATTCATTCACAACGTATTAAATCTATTCATTCACAATGTATTTTTATAATAAATCAAAGTTAGGCTATATTTTTTCCAGATATTATTGCGTATGAAGTAGAACATGACACGCCCCCAGGGCCTAGCTCAAGTGGCAAAGGGTGGTGGATTTGTGTCTTAGGTCACAGGTTCAAGCCCCCACACCATGCAAAGCAAAGCCTGGTATTTAAGTGGAGAAGGGTAGAGGGGCGGGCCCATTATCCACCGAGTTTCGAAGGCTGCGGTTGGTCCAAAGGATTGGCCCCAGACGGATTTCTCGGTCATCCAAAAAAAACAAAAAAACATGACACACGTGCGAATAATCGAATCTTTGGGTTTATCACATCGGAGTTGAAGGTATGTCTTTTCTTTAATATGTTTTCATGTATATTACCTTCTAGATTATACTTGCCAGAATTATAATTTCAGTTAGTTTAGGTGATAGAAGTTCATATTTATTTCCGTTGCTAAAATTAGTATGCCCTTGTTAATTTTCTTGATTGGTAATGCCTTTTGTAGTTCATCATTCTCCTTGTGATGAAACTTTCGCCTTATTTGTATTTTGTATGACATAGCAAATTTATTTCATAAATTTGATGAGAAACTTTAGGAGCCTGCAAGAAGTTCGAGACTATACAACAATACAATATACAAAATTTATAAACACATGTCAATTTTCTTTCTTAAGAATTTTCACTTTATAATTAGCGAAAAATATACGTGCAACACACGTGCATAGAGACTAGTAAGTTCTGAAAAAGGAAAAAGATGAACCTATTGTTTATATCCCAAATTACAAAAGATTGTATCACTTCTTTCAGGAAAGACAGCAGGAGTAGGTATCTAGTCAATAGTGACAGGACACAAATATCACAAATGAAAGCAACATCCTAAACTGAGCAAGAGAAGTTTGAAAAAAAGTGGAAGGGCTTTATTTTCACAGTATTCAGATAATTATTTGCTATCTCATGGCATAACTTATTTTTTCTTTGTTTTAACAAGTATAAGAAATAAAATAACCGAAAATAGATATAAGGATCATCTAATGTAAAATATCTTCAATTCGGCAGCCACAATATTTGATTAAACAGATTCTTGAAGTACTCATGGAATTAAACTAACAAATTTTTGCACCAAGAAAAGCAACCTTTGTATCACCAAACTCACTTCTACATCATGCAAGGAAATGGTGCCATCTTCAAGCCCAGCTGCAATTGCTTTTCCATCAGGACGCCAACATATGGATGTTATGTTCTTTCCTAAAAGATAAAAATCCCATTAGTGGATGATCAAGATTAGGAAATTGATGTTGTAACTTAACACCTTGGACACTGAAACATGCCAAAATGATCCCGGAATAGGATCACTGTTGATATTATGATGGCAATATTAATCTTATTGCCCTTCTTATCAGGAAAATATCAAATAAGAGTCTTCACGCCCTCACAATAAAATTGTCCTAACAGCCAAACCATCAAACATCTATTATTGAATTAACTTGATATAGCAGCAATTCACAATTTCTAATATGCACACTAAATCAGTGTTATCTCAACAAAATAAAAGAAATCTTTTTACTACGTCAATTTGACGAACTTCGACTAATACATCAGGCAACTAGTTACAACCAAAAATTACAGGTATAAGCAAAAGGGGGGTACCGGGGGAAACAGTCCAAAGCCTTTGCCAATTGAAACGATGAAGAAGAAGCTTAGAGTCTTGGGTAACCATAGCAAGTAAATCTTTTTCTGGGTTCCATTCAGCTATTTTAATCTGCAAAAATACACCCCCAGAAGAAAATTGAAAATAATCGTAATAGAAGAAGGTTTACATTACATACCTTATATAAGTATACATTTTAAAAAAGAAAATAGTATATGTGAATACATTCGAAGCAATGGGTTTGTCGAACTGAAGCTGAAATGGAAGAACTCGTTGGGTTTCCTCTGTTTCCATGGCTGCTACTATATCAGGATGGCGTCTTTGTGCTGTCTGTATGTCGCTGCGCAGTGGCGCCTGCTCAAGTGTGAGAGAATTGAGGGCGGGGTTTTGGGTTTTTGTTCTTCGTAATTTGAACTGGGTCACCAAATTAAACAAGTGTTGGAATTTTCAGAGTCAAACTCTTACCATGAATTCGGACAGAATATTTGGAAAAATAATTATAACAATTCAAAATTCAAAATCCGAAGCTATCATTCTTTTTTGGTTCGAATGGAGTAATTAAAAGGGACAGTCATAATAATATTATTTATACTCCCATTTGGTTTTTTCAACTTAATTATACTCCTACCTGATTTGCTTTCACACCTTTTTGTATTTTAATCTTGAGAAAGAAAAAAATAAAAACGTAGTGATTTCATTCTTTATACTGTTGCTGTTTTTCTAGTTGAAACTGTAGCTATTTATAGAGAGAAGGAATATCAATATATAGGTTGGACACAAATTCAAACTAAATTAAACCTAAAACATCTTTGTTCAAGTACCATTATGCGAGTTCGTCACCACCACTCCACCAGACTAAAATTTCACCGTCAAATTTTATGATGTTTTCTGAAGGCAATTGAAGTGATATCAACATTTCTATATTCAAAAATAACATAGAAAACTAAACACTCATTGAAAGCCTAATCTGAAGAGAAACTAGTATATCAAGAAGTGCTTCAATTTTGCTAATTGCGCTTCCCAGAACAATTCAGAAATTTGGATTTTAAGATCAAATTTCTAAAATTACATAGAACATGTGTTCAAATATCATAGATGAATTTCAACACGGACTAAAATATTTATGATTTGACTTTATACTCCAAATCAAGAATTTGACATACATGAGGCCACTTCTCCGTTCAAACGGCAACGAACCATCTCAACTTCAATTCGTAGTGCTACTAGTACATCTTATTTGTTAAGATTATGGCTTGCGTCAACAAAATGAGCTCGTAAGATATCAAAATGTGTCAATTTTGGCATTAATTACGTAAACTTCTCCAGAAATAACAACATAAAGAACAAGAGCTGAGGCGTTCAGAATTGCCAGAGGTTCATGCTCTCATGCAGATGTTGAATTTGGCAATCCAAGTCTTAAAACAAGAATTTCATATGGTTATATTCGAACCAAAGTTGCATCCCTTCAACTCTGGGCCATTTGATTTCCACAGAAACACTATCAAATAATTACCATATAAACACATCGCCAAATAGTCAGCAACAAAAGAAAAGCATGAGAATAAAGAGTCCATATAAATAGTTTCGAATAAGACAGTTACAGGAAATCTATAGGTCCAAAATCTAAGATCCACATCATACAAGAAAACGCAGATCAACTGAAAAATATTTTACCAATGTATCTCCAATCAATAACTGACCTCAAAATGTAAACCAAAAAAAAAAAACATAAGACACTCAATAAGCCTCCAGAATTGGGAGAACAGGCTGCAGGATCTTCCTCACAGTTGTCACTTGTAAATCCAAAAGATTGTCGGACTGATGTAACTAGAAAGGTGATATTGTCGGCCTAACATGCATGTGTTTGCGAAGTTTCCCTTTCACATGAAATCATAATCATCATAACCATCATATGCATTTACCACAGCTTCATCATCTGCCTTATCAACATGTATCTGCTTCTTCTTTGCACCTGCAAGGGAAAAGTCATAAGCCCAGCCATTGGAGGTCGCAATTATCATATAGACAAAATTAGGCACATCATTACCTTTCTTTTTACTTGCATTGGCTTCCTTTTCTGCTTTAATCTTCTCATTTGCAATTGCAGTAACAGAAGAGGCAATTTCTTTAGCATCTGCACCTTTCAACGCAGTCATTGACAATCTCATAACAGACTTGAGCAACCCAATATAATGGTAGCTTTTCTGAAAAAAGACAAGCATTTAATGCCGAGTCAAAATTAAGCCCCAACAATCAAGAAATCAGAAAAGACTGAAAAGGTTAAACTTGCCAAACCTCATATGGTCGCAGCTTATGAGAAATCAACTCAGCATATTCCAAGAAATCATTCTCACTTTTGGGGATGAAATTATCAATGGTCTTGTCATCACCACCTTTCGTGGCGAACAATTCAGCTGTGGACTTATAATCGGCTTCTTCCACAAGCCTGTAAAAGAGACATGCGAAAAGAATTCTGAATAACTTGAGGTGTGCATGTCATAGAACCGAATACCAAATTGTATTTTGTTCACCGGGAAACCCAAGAAATTACAGACAGGGAAAGCAACACACAATTCCCGACCAGAATAAAATTCAACTTATTAACTATAACCGACCTGACTTGTTTATTTCAGTTTGTAAGATAAATTACTCCTTTACCCGTCACCCTCCCACATAATTTCACCTATACGAGAATATTGTCTTGGCATGACACCAACTTCTTATTCAGCTAAATTATTAATCCTGTATTTCTCAGTTAAAACTACTCTATTGGAGGCATGAACGGCATTAGTGACAAATATGTAAGTTCTCTAACCTTTGCTGGCGAAGTTTCTCTGCTACTGGATCTAGAGGCTCTTCCTTGGTATGAATTTCAGCTTCCTTGCCTTTCTTTTCACTAGCTTTTGCAGCAGACTTCTTGGGTGCCTTCTCAGCAGGAGGTTCTGGTTTAGGTGCCTGATCAATCAACCATAGCTTAAACTGATTAGACCAAGACATAGGACGTTTCATGCAGAGACAGTACTTGACATAGGACACATGTCACCAGAACATGAGAATCACCGAGCACGTAACATGGTGCATGAGCACGTTGAATAGAAAAATATAGGCAGTGATACGAAAATAATCTTACAGAATGCATGAAGGACAATAATTAAATTTCTTAAAGAAAATAATATTCCACGGAAGAGAATCACCCTAATGTTAGAATTGGTTGTATGGCATGAGTAATTTTCTTCTATAAACAGCTGATGAAACATATAACAGGTTATGTAATAACATTGCTTTCAAGCATTCTCCTCATGGATCGGTGACAAGTGACAACACAATCATACAGGGAAAGCCTTTAATATCACATACTCAGAAGTAAATTTAAAATGGAGAAGGAAAACGGGCAGTTTTATAATTACAATGCTGAAACAGCTCTTAACAACTCTAAGCAGTCTCATGATTACAAAGCTAAAATAGCTTTTTTAAGACCCTAAGCAGTCCTATGATTACATGGCTGAAATAGCTTTTCACCATGAGTATCGCAAATTCTGTTCTGCTCTATTAAATGATGACAACTGCATTAATATCTTGATCAGGCTTATATCATATTCTCAGAGAAATAGACACAAAAGTGAGGGTTTCTAATCTATGAACTCATATGCAAACACTAAGGAATTTGCCATGGGTCTCCTGCACCAGCAGCAAACAATGACATGATACAGAAGCATCTGAACTGTGTTCTATTATCCCACTCAACATAGCTTTCCTTCATCTATTAGTCGTATGATAACCAAATAATTTGTGCATGCATGATGCAACCTACTCAAATAAATGGAATTCACCTAGTATGCAAAGCATATGACGCATAACAGAAATCAGCAAAATCCAAAAGAGACTAAAATATTACATTACACTTCCAGGTTAGCATGCAAAACACATAAATACAACCCATTGATGCAGCAACACCACCACCAAAATCACTTGGATAATTCTTTTATAAGTTAATCCAAGTAGATATTCTCAACCCAAAAGAGCAATTTCTACTTTTCAAGATACTGATAAACACACAACATTAGCAGGCAAAGAAGTGGATTATTGGAACAAGACAGTTTAACTAAGATGAATTTTTGGAATTCACGAATACTGCAAGCCTGTTCACAAAACAAAAGCAGGAAACCAATAACTAGTCAACTATACCGGAACAGGCTCCTCTTCATCTTCCCAAGATTCTTTTACATCATTATCATCTGCATCTTCATCATCCCATTTACTCCCTGGTTGCTCCTTCTTAAGAAGATCCGGAACTGGAACATCCTCTGAAACAAAAAGTGCAAATTATAGACAATCTTGCATACAATGATGTGGTTTAGAACTACAAAATTTGTCAAGTTATACCAAAACTCAGAATTCACTAGTGAACAGCCAATCAGTAAACATAGGCAATTATATCAGAAAGATTGGTAGTATCACAGATTTTAACCACAGAGGTAGTTGAGGGTAATTACATCTCTTTTTCTGCATGCACAGTAGAGTGATAGACAATGTAAATGGACAGGAAATCCAAGTTTTTTCAGAAAAAAAGATAGATGAATGAAATCCTCAATCCATTAAATACACTGGTTTGAACATGCAATATCTTGGACAGGGAATCCAAGTCACTTCAGAAAGATAAATGAATCAAATCCTCAATCCCTTAAATACACTTGGTTGAGCATGCAATATCTCCTAAAAATAGGGACCTGACGTGCATAGTCTATTGCCAAGACCCAAGGTGTGGCCTAGTGGTCAATGAAGTGGGTGGAGAACCATACAGGTCTCGTTCAAATCCCAAGAGGGACAAAAAACACAAGGTGATTTGTTCCCATTTGCCTGGTGGACAGATTTACCTGGTACCTGTGCTGGTGGGAGGTTGCAGGTACCCGGTAGAAGAGCCGAGGTGCGCAAGCTGTCCCGACACCAATTACTGTAGATATTTGACTACTTGACTATGGTTATTTACTTCTTTGGTGCAAGCATCTATCTGTAACGTTATGCCAAAATCATATCTATGTGACCAGTGAGTTCAAGTGAAGTGCCCTCAGCACATAGACATCCAGAATCAAGTAGAAAACTCTTACGATTAATAAAGAAAGCAGTTTACCATTGATTAGTGAAATGAATTGTTAGATAATTGTTTATTCCTTTTCCTTTCTGCACCCACAAACCCCCGGTGTGAGCAACAGGCAGTGCACATTATGAGGTTAAAACAAAATTGTTGGTGTCAAAGTATCAAGAAGGAACAAGGAAAGTTTTGAGTTAATGTGTCCTGCATTCCTACCCAACATGTCCCCATTTACATTAATATTAACACCATCCCTCAAGAAGAAAGCAAAAATAATAACAGTAATTGTTCTACGTTGCACACCTAGTTAGACTGAGGTTTGACAGAGCAATGAGGAAGTGCAGGCAACAATTGCACACCTCAAACCCCTAGCGTCCCACAACATCATGGTTATTGTGCTACATCCCAAAATTTGCTTGAATAAATAAATATCGCGAAAGCTCGTAGTGCATATATCTTTCATGAATTTTGCAAAAGAGTAGCTACAACAAAAGCTGGACATTAAGTAATATTTTGCATCTTCATATTAGATTACTCCATTTCATCCACTAGTTGGAGACATATAATGGCACGGAAAATTTTGTATATTAAGGGTGTGTTTGGTAAGAAGGAAAATGTTTTCCTAGAAAATATTTTTATGGAAAATTAGTGATTTTATCACTTATTTTCCCTTGTTTGGTTGTTGCTTTACTTTTTTAAAGCAAAAAAACGTTGAAATTTGTGCTCCATAACTAAAAAATACTCCTTTTTTGTTGAAAAAAAAAGTACTATTTCTACAACATGAAAATAAAGTACTCATTTTGTTGAAATGAAAGAAAATAATTTTTCTACATCATGAAGAAAAAAACTCATTTTGTTGAAATGAAAGAAAATACTTTTTCTACATCATGAAAAGAAAATACTTTTTCTACATCATGAAAAGAAAATACTTTTTACTACATCATTTTGTTGAAATGAAAGAAAATACTCATTTGTTGAAATGAAAAAAATTAACTCTATTTATATCATGAAAAGAAAGTACTATTAATAATATTTCTATTTTGGGGCGAGGGTGGGCGTAGTTGGGGTGTGGAGGTGGGTTGGTGTGGGTTGGTGTGGGTTGGTGGGGACGGGGAATGAGAGGAAGGTTGAAAAAGAGTTTTGAAAAATGTTTTCCCTTCTCTTAATAGGGAAAACATTTTCCTCCAATTGGAGAAAATGAGTTCATGAGAAAAATGTTTTCCAAAACATTTAAGCCAACCAAACATGGGAAAATTGGAAAACATTTTCCGGAAAATATTTTCCTTCATACCAAACACACCCTAAACCATAGCCTTTAGGACATTGGTCGAACTATATCAATTACAAGGAATATACAACACCAGACAAGATCATACTACTTTTGCATGTAAGAACTATAAATAATAATTTTTTTTATAATTGTGGTGTCCCGGCCAGCTTGCGCGCACCTCGACTAATTCCACGGGAAACTTGTCACCTCCCACCAACAACAGATAACTCTATCCACCAAGGTTGGGATAGATACTAATTCAACAAGCCACTATAAATAATACTACTTCGGCAAGGGACACATCTCCCAATATCAAAGTTATACAGAAAACCTATAAATAATAATAATCTATCATGAAACAATAGATGTCACAAAGATATGGAGTACACAAAGACTTACATTTAGTGCCTTCCAATTAAGAACAGTAAACAGCTTCCTACTTATCAAAAATGAAAAAGAAAAGAACAATAAATTGTTTCCTAAATAAAGCAAGACGTATAAGCATCAATAGTAATTGAATTAGTTTTACACAGGAAGAGTAGTAATAAGAAATTCGAGAAATATCAACATTACCCCAATCCTCCATCTCTATTTGATTCTCTTCTGTCCACAAAAACTTGTAAATTTGAGTATCTGCAAAAGAAGTAGACAAAAACTTAGTTTACCTTCAAGAGAAATCAAATTATCAGCAATGAGTACCTTCAAATTCCATATTGATCTTTAATAAAATCATTTATACAGCATAATTAACAACTTGAAACAGTTTTATTGTGCATATGAAACTCCAAGATGAATCAAGCACATCACATCGCCCACAAGATTCTCCATTATGCAAACTTAAAAAAAACACTAAAAATGAAAGAAAAAGTGTCCATTAACATTTGTGTTCTTGCCACACATGCATTAGGTCTACTGTTTGACGGGAGTAGGTTGGACATTGTATGACAGTGTAGGGATATGTGGGAGATTTTCTTTTGATAACCCGTAACCGAGGAATACCTGAGGGCCGGTGGAGCACAGTTAAGACTTGATGGATAATAGGGGACCCCTCTGCCTTCTCCACTTTGCCCTCTACCTTTCTCCACTTAAATACCAGGAAAATTAGACCCGCGCCTAACCACACATCATGTATTGCATTCTTACAAGTAGACCAATACTTGGGGGCATATGTGGGAGATTTAGAGAATTCTACAAATAATTCAACAGTGCAATAAAGCAGGCTATTTGAACTGAATCGAAATTTATATAGCCAATACAACTAGTTTGGGATTGAGTCATAATTGTACAGTTGTATACCCAAAAAAAACGGTTTTGTATGAGCGCCCAATCGCCCATATAATATCTATAATCGTGGATGCGACAAGGAACTTAGCAAATTTGAAAAGAGAATGAAAATTCACATTTAATTATCAAAAATCCAAAATAGTTAAAGTGAAAATTCAGCAATAAAATAGAGATACGCTATGAATTCAACATTGCTAAAGGAAAAGGCATGTACCAGTACGATGGATGGGTGAGTCTCGCCGACGATGCGTTTCCACGGCGGATAAAGCGACCGAACAGAAAATCTCCGATCGGTGGGTCGCTAAACCCTAGTAGACTCCGCAATTCTAATTGCGCGCAGCTAGGGAGATTGAAGGTACTAGAGGAAAGAGAAGAATCCAGAAAATCTGGTCGTGTTAGGGTTAGCGTCTGGTCTCCTGTTTTAATATCCAGATTCTATTAGACGGATCCGGGTCTTGTTAGGAAAGGGATTGATTTATTCCTGATTTACAGTTTGTACCCTCATTTTTGGCCTAAAGGCATAGAGGTAGCATTGAGGAAAATGTGTGAGAAATAAGACCCCTAAATATTGGTTTAAATAAAATTTAGGTTTTTGTTCCATTTTTAGGTGGTGTTTGCATCAAAATTTTGAAAAACTAGTTGTGAAGAATCATTTTAATTTTTGAGTGTGGTCATAAAAAGATTTTGATCTTGAATAAACACAAGTGTTAAGTGAGGAATGACCTGTGAAGTTCATTTTTTAACATTCTCTATCTTGTATAGGTTAAGGGAATTTTATGCGTAAAATTCAAAAATAGCTAAATTTGCAAGTGATAATTGAAAAATAATCACAATTTCAAAAGTAATCGAAATTTAGCCACTTTTCATGTAAAGATAAATCTGAACGAAAATACTGTTCAAAATCCGGAAAATATTCCAGCATAATATACTGGAGTTCGAATTTTTACATGTGAACTTCCAGAATAATATACTGGAGTTCCAGTATATTTTCCATCATAGTATGCTGGAAGTTCATACACATGTACTCCAATCTCCAGTATATTATGCTCGAACTTTCCGTGTGCTGGAGTTCCAGCATAATATGCTAGAAGTTCATACACATGTGCACACCAATCTCCAGTATATTATGCTGGAACTTTCCGTATTTCAGCAAAATAGTGGCTATTTTTTAATGACTTTGCAAATGCTGACTATTTTTCAATTACCAGTCCGAAAACTAGCTAGCCCGTTCTATTTTCACAAATTTTATATGAGTTACTGATGGATCTAATTGAAGGATCAATGGCTAGAAGTGAAACATGAAGCTCTTCTTTTGATATTTCCACTAGTGAAAATTCCTATCAAGTATGTTATGATAAATTTGAAGAGACTCACAGTGAAATTGGAAGTATTGATTGCGGAACAGTTATTTTTAGATTTAAAGCGCGTGTGGGGAATCAAAGAGGATGTGTCCTTGATACTCGAAAATTTTAATAGTCATTCTCTTGTTGTTAGATTGAAGTTAAGTAATAACACTTTATTAAGACTTAAAAGTAAAAATAAAGAATAAAGATGAACCATCGAGCTAAAATCCAAAAAGACCAAACTTATTATGGTTTGGTAAGTGATTGGTTTATTTTTTAGGGGATCTTAAGCAATTACCCATGCGTCTGAAAGTAATTACCCGTCTATACCCATAAAGAATTTTTACCCACAAACTATTTACATTATATACCTATAGTAGTTGAAAAAAGTTGAAATCAACACCAATTTCAAATGAACCAAATAAAACCTTATTGTATTTCATATATGCATTACATAAATTTAAATTGGAGACAAAGTGTTAGAGGAGTTCTTTAGCTTGAAATTTTTGACCAAATCCACTTCAAATCAACTTTAAATAAACTCAAACTTCATATTCAAATTCTTACAAATATTTGCAACAAGTTTTAATAATATCCATCCTCATTCAAAGTCCAAACAATTATTACTTTCAATTCCCAAACCAAAAGCTTCAAAGCTCATTTAATGGTGGACTAGTTTTGTTTTTCTTCAATTATCAGCCACCAAGTTTAGACTATAACCACGATTTTAGCTTTGTACAATAGCACCCAGATGATAAAACAATAGTTGAAGCATGTTGTTACATTATATATATTGTATGTTATTACAATATATTATTATAGTATATTACATATTATTACAGTATACCATTGCAGTATATTATATAATTAGAGTATACTATTGCAGTATAGATGTATACTCTTATAGTATATTATATACCGTAGTGTTATACTATTGGGTAACTGTATTAAGCTTTTAATTCTCAAACCAACGCTCCAAAACTTCTTCATTGCAAGACAATTTTTATTTTTTTCAGTTATCACCAACCAAATTCGGACTATGACCATGATTTTGGCTTTTCACAAGAGCATTCGGATGATTTCACAAATAGCAGTCGAAGTTGTCACGACCCAGTTTCCTATAGTCCATGATGGCGCCCAACATCGCCGCTAGGCAAGCCAACAGTGAACTAACCGTGTATCTACTCTTTTAATATTTTTGAAATAGTTGATTTTTAATTATTACATAAGAAAGAGATGAGAAAATTTAATAAAATAAAACATAACAAATTGTAAGATCAAGTGTAGTAAAATAAATACTCAAAAATCATTAAGTGTCTACTAGCAAAATCCCAAGACCCTGTGTCACAAGTGTATGAGCCATTAGTAGAATACACAAAATACTAAACTATTGTCTAAAATAAAGTAGACATAAAGTAAATACAAAAGAAAGACTTTGGGTGCTGCAGAACGGCTCGGAAGGCAGCTCACCGCTAAGTCTCGATGTATCAGGAGTGCACGCCGGGATGATGTTCAAATGCACCTGCCTCAGATCCTCCATGGTTAGTGCAGAAGTATAGCGTGAGTACATAAACAACATGTACCCAGTAAGTATCTAGTCTAACCTCGAAGAAGTAGTGATGAGGGGTCGACTTCGACACTTACTATGGGCTAACAATAAAATACCGAAATTCTAAATAAGCATGAGTTATGTAAACAACCATAAATCTACATAACAAGCGATAAACAAATATTTCTTTCACTGATAATAAATCCCAAATTAATTCCCATCATTTAAATTATTGTAACCTCTCAAGCCAATAAAATCATATCAAGAAGATTAGGCTCCAAGTATTTTTACGCATGATTTATGCCGAGGTCGTACGGCCTGATCCATATATATTTTGTGTGCACTGCCGAGGGTCGAACGGTATGAACCATAGATGCATCTATTAATCTGTCGAGGCGAACAACCCGCTCCCATGAGAGTAGAGAAAATTTGCCTCGCCCGTGAAAATACTTGCGACGCGAGTGGACATAGATTTCTCAAAGTTATTATAAAATTCTTCCATTCTTCCCCACACATAAGAAATTTGAATGGGAGACTTTAAATCTTAAAATCCTTAATCTCAACTCTAGTTAATACATTTAATATGCATGACCAACATAATAGAGCAAACAAAGCATGGTGTAAGCCTAAGACTATCCGGACATCACATGGGAATATAGCTACGCACGGACTCTCATCACTTAGTGCGTACATAGCTCCCCACACATATAATTCACAACAAAAATACACCTAAGGGGATAAGTTCTCTTTTACAAGGTTAGACAAGAGACTTACCTCGTTCTCAAGCTCACTCCCGATCCACAAATATGCTTTAAATCCTCAACTCTTTGCCAAACGACCCGAAACTAGTCAAATGTTATATAAATAAATCAATATATGTTCCAAAGTTCATAATTTAACTATTAGAGTGATTACCCAACCCAAATTGGAAGATTCTCAAAATTCATCCACGGGCCCACAAGCCCGGATTCCGAAAATTTTCAAAGAAAGTTGTTACCCATAACCTCATGAACTCAAATATATAATTTTCACTTAATTCCCTAACCATTTTCGTGGTTAAATCCCATTTTTATCAAAACCTAGGTTTTTCATCTAAACCCATGATTCTCAATATTTTACAGGTTAAAATTCACTCATAACCTATGTATTGAACTCACTTTGTATAGAAATTACTTACCTCAAAGTGCTAGGTGAAAACCCCTCTCCAAGATCTCCAAAATCGCCCAAGAGATGAAAGAAAGTGAGCCAAAATAGCCAAAGTCCCGCATTAAATGGACCATTCTGCCTCCAGAGATTTCGCACCTACGGTCACTGGGCCGCATCCGCAGTACCGCTTATGCGGAATAAGGTCCGCTTCTGCAAAATTCCCTAGGCCTAGCGCTGGTCGCTTCTGCGGACGTGATCATGCATCTACTGTCACGCTTTTGCAGTCAGGGAAGCGCATTTGCGTCCTTCTCGCACATGCGGCTCCTCATCGCAGAAGCGAGTCCGCTTCTATGCACTCCCCTTCGCTTCTGTAGACCACTGGCCAACTGTTACCAAGCCTCTTCTGCGGCCAAAATCCCGCACATGCAGGCTCGCACCTACGGCCAAAAGCTCGCAAGTGCGGGCACACCAGAATTGGTGCACCAGCAGCCCTTTTGAGTCCAAGTTCAATTCGTGCATCGCCGGATTGCACCCGAGGCCCCCGAGGCCTCGCCCAAACATACCAAAAAGTCCGTAAATATGAGACAAACTTGCTTGAACCCTTGGAATGCGGAAAACAACACCAAAACTAAGATTCACATCCCAAACCGAATTGAATCAACTTATGAACTTCAAGTTCTTCTAACTTACTTCGACCGCGCTGAAACATGCTTAAACTACTCGGAATGACTCCCAATTTTGCGTGCGAGTCTTAAATCATCATACAAAACTATTCCCGGGCTCGGAATCCCAAACAGACCTCGATAACACCAAAACCTACTCTAAACTAAATTTAAAGAACTTTAAAACCTTCAAGGTGCCAACTATTAATATTATGCACCAAAACGCTCCCGGGTCATCAAAAACCCGATCCGAATATACGCCCAAGTCCAAAATCATCATACGAACCTATTGGAATCGTCAAATCCCGATTCCGAGGTCGTTTACTCAAAACATTGACTCAAGTCAAACTTAGCCCTTTTTAGCCAACCTTAAGGAACCAAATGTTCCGATATCAACCCGAACCCTTCCAAATCCCAGACTAACCATCCCCGCAAGTTATAAAACAATAAAATCACATACATGGGAGTCTTATTTAGGGGGGCATGGATCTAGAAAGCAAAATTACCGGTCGGTTCGTTACATTCTCCACCTCTTAAACAAACGTTCGTCCTCGAACGGATCTAGAATCATATCCGGAGTGCTAAATATGTGTAGATATCTGCTCCGCATGTCCTCCTCGGTCTCACAAGTCGCCGCCTCGACTGGTTGACCCCTCCACTGAACCTTTACTGCAGAAGTCTTCTTGGACCTCAACTGTCAAACTTGTCTGTCAACAA